GTTGATAGCATATATATATATATATATTGTAAGCAGGCAATTTACATGAAGGTAGCTGCTGCATATGAAAGTAGCAATGCTTGACTTGCTATAGTGGTGGACGGGATCATAGCCAGGCAGAGTAACATATGAGAAGGAGAAGCTGGCTTTGCCACGTTGGCAAAGATGACTCATCTCTTGTCAAGAATATCCTAGCGCAAGAGCCCAGGGAGGGGGTCGCATGTCGAACTGCGCAATAGAATTTTAAACCAAGGAGCGAGAGCGGGGAAGTCGCCTGCTCGGTTTGGTTACCATATTTGCCAAAGAAGTGGAAAACTGCGTCACGTGAAGAGAGCAGAGACGACCAGTTCGGGCGCTCATATAAAAGCAAAGGCGCGTGTCGATTTCAGGAGGGAGAGAAATAGTGTAGTTTAGCGAGCAGACAGTAAACAGCATGGTCTAACTGGTTGAGTATACATACATTTTTTACTGTAAAAATAATTTAAAAGGTTTCAAAAGCTTTTCCCAATTAGAAATATTCACAGCTTAATTTATTTAATTAAGCATGCCTCAATTTAAATTAGCATGCATGCGGGTGTGTGTGCGTGTGTGTGTGTGGTGTGTGTGTGTGTGTGAGTGCGCGTGCGTGCGTGCGTGCGTGCGTGCGTGTGTGAGCGATTGGTGACTCTCTCTCTAACTTTAAAGTTACTCACCGATACTGACAGTGGCACTGTGTAAGCCTACCTATCATTGATTATGTATTGCTAGCTGTGACTGTTACAGATAGGCATAGAAAAGGACATAGATTTTGTCACTCTGAATAACGTACCTTATCAAAACAGTCTTCAGTGAAATTATTAGAACATAACAAGATTGCCTTTGGCAGGTTGGTTTCCGGTCTTCTTATTGCTCTGAGCCATCGCCTAGCAAGAGATTTTGTTTCTCCTGGGCAATGCGTGAAACGAAATGCCTGGATACGTTTTAGCCTGTTCTGGTGTGCCAGAAAAGTTATTCCAACTTTAACAAGTATTTGAGTTGCTAGTGCAACCTACAGCACCACAATACACCATAATAATTACAAGAGTATGGACAGAATAGTAGGAAAAACACCCCAGTCACCTGCAACACACATGTACCTAACCAAACACCATAGCAAAACAAGTGAACACGTGCCACTAAGCAAGAACGCAGGGCGTTGTGGGAAAAACATGGTGGCACCCATAAGTATCAAAAACATCATCAAAAGCAGGTTTGATCATAATATGTTCTAAAAATGTCAGGAAACATGTTTAAAAGTAATTACAATGTCATATAATAGGCTAAATACGTTATAGATGTCAGAATCCCTTTAAAGAGCTCTCCCTACACTGAATGCTATTCTACGACAGGTTGACTCCCCCGAGATCGGATACTAGTCGAGTGCAGAATATCTTTTGCCTGAAAGGAATTCCAATATCCCAAGAATGTAGCTTCAAAGTTGATGAACATAGATCACAGATTGGAGCCATAATGACTAGTGATTCCCATTTTTGTGTTTGCAAGAAAGTCATCAACGAAAAAATATTGTATACTCAAATAGGTGTATATACACACAAACAATAAAAAAAACAGGACGGAGTCAATCAAGTGCAACATCACTCTAACATCTGTTATAACATTAGTCAACCTTCATGAGTGAAATCTATACAGTACGGTGAGTACCTCTGTGTCATCTGCATCCTTCAAAAAGAAGCTGATGGGCTCTGGCCTCAAAAGTTCAAACACTATGCAGAAGTGATCGTCAAAGATAAACGTGTTCTAAAAAGATAAAAGAGTAAAAGAGGTACTCAAGACAAGCTTAAGGATGAAAGTGTTATGTAAAGATAGTATATCTTCACAAGAATTTTACCATTTTACGGACACCATATCTCATATATATACTGCCTGTAATAACAAAATGTTTTCTGTACAAGAAACATTTATATTTAATCAAAGTAATCGTACATATTTTTGTTATATTAAAGGGACAGTAGCCTCTAGGATTTTACTGCATACAACTGTACTTACTGTATAACAAATCGTCTATACCCACACGTATTTGTTACCAGATACCTAATTTAAAGGGACAGTAGCCTCTAGGATTTTACTGCATACAACTGTACTTACTGTATAACAAATCGTCTATACCCACACGTATTTGTTACCAGATATACCCAATTTAATTGTTATAATTAATTACACATCAACGCTACGAAATTTGAACGGCGCCATGACACCCGCAACCGTGCTGCCACCCCGAAAAAGTTGCGTATTTGACCATTTATTTTGCACGTTACAGACCGAGGGCTAATCACAAAAGTGCAATTATATTTATACCTAAATGCTGTTTAACCGAACGATATTCATTTTAGGGCAAATTTATCCATATTATAACTGAAACTATATGTCGTTTATAAGATATTACAATCCTTTTGCTTTTAAATGAATAAATAAGAAACACCCTCGGTCTGTAGCCCTTGGCTGGAAAAAGTGGTTTTGCGCAACTTATCAGATCGTGCGCTTTGAGTGGCGCCACCGTCGTTGTAATCAAACTGTAGTCGTTAGTTTTAAAACATTTTTTTTAAATATTTCTAATGGTGATTGAACCATGAAACTTTTCATGTAGCGTAATTATAACCTAAATTAGCTAAAAATAACCCTAGAACCTAATATAAACTCTCCCTTTAAGATGAAGGTGTCTTATGAGAAAAACCAGTTCCCAGTAAAGAAATGTTAATTTTCTTAACACAACTCTCCTTCAAAAAAAGACAAATCTTCTATAAGACAAAGGTTATGCCTGCAGCTAACTGATCATGTGTCCTAACTATTAAACCAGACCTTATGTGCCATCATCTAACTACAGTGACAAAAAATTCTGCTGGCTGAAAACATTCTGTATCAGCTGGGTTATAATTTAATCTCTAGGCACCTATCAATCTACCTATATATTATAGCTACCAACCTGCCTGCCCGCCCACCTCGGCTTATTCTTATATTTTAAGGTACAGGTCTAACGACATACTTATTTATTACACCTACCTACCAGCGCACGTGCTTGACTAGCTACCTACATGCCTACGCACCTACACATCAACTCAGCTGAACTACACATCTATCCACCTACGGTACCAACTTGACTAAACATGCCCATGCACCCACCCCTACTCCACCAGCCTAACATACCGATACGCCTACAAACCCACGTTCGAAACAGTGGCTTGAGTTACCGAGAGCAATGACTCACAGCCCACGCAGCGTGGACTTACCAGTAGTCGCACGGTGGCCGATGCCTGCCAGGGATCGGCCGCGTTCAGGGCTTGCAGGCAGTGCACCTCCTGCGCTCCCAGCGCGTAGTGGGGACCGTGCAGCACCTTCACGGCGACGCGAGACCCTCCACGGAACGTGTCCTGCATAGTTAAGCACATATGATAAGGGCTTAAAGACAGTGCACCTACATCGTGCCTATTTTTTGTGACGTTTTGGCGGGTAGGATATGGTAAAAGGTGCTAATAAGATAGTAATACTAATAGGATAGGATAGGAATAGAGAAGTAATCTACCCCATGATTACGTAGTAAAGCCCCACTCCCCAGATGGTCCCAAGTATAAAAAAACTTGACCCCACTGAACTCAGTGCATGAGTATTCATTGCCAGGCATGATCCATTGGAACAAGAGCTTACTCAGCTTAGATTATATGTTTCTATTTACATTGAAACACAAGTTATGGCAGGGTATAGGTAGGTGAAGAATACTTTTTTCTTGAAAAACCTTTCACCGTTGGATGATAGGGCAGGTAAAGAAAAAACATTTGGCGATGAATGAAATGCATGGTAACATAGAATTAACAAACCCATTCTTTCACTGAGCAGAGTGTCTTACTTATTGTGCATGGTTTTATTGTAATGGCACTTGCATGTTACTCTCAGACCCATGTTGCCTGTGTTATATGCTATTAACTAGGACTGTCATCGATACCCACCTCATCGATAAATCGCGATGGATTTGCGTCCGATATCGATATCGAAATAAATAGAAAAATAGCGATCCGATACAGTATATCACAATAAAGAGTTGGTACATCCTTTTTCTGGTAAAAGAGTGTTGTTTATTAAAGGCATAATAAGCCCATTGATTATGCAATGTTGATGAATGCTAGAGTAACTGGCACATTGTGTAGTTAATAAGTACGTAACCTTATAGCCTAACCAGCCCTCGACACTAACGGTTGTCCGATTGCCCGGGACAAGTAAAAGTCTATGTCGGACAAGTTATTCTCTTGCCTAGTTGCCCGATCGGACAACTGAAAAGTTCTAGTTGTTTAATATTCTTAACATCCTCTGAGCCAGGTCGCTATCGCACCACATTCTCACTTCAAACGTTTTCAAAGGTCCCTGAAAAAAACAGCCCGCGACACCCACTGTTACCATTACAGATATATTCAGAGCGGCAATGCGTACCTCCCTGGCCGGGGCGTCATTGATTTATGTACTGGGGTGGGGGTACGATTGTTTATAAGTCGGTTGGGGCATATTCATTACTGAATATGTAGGGGGTGGGCATCGCTGGGATGAGAGGACGACAGCAAAACTCTTTCCTGTGATTGAGGAAAAAGCTGCAATCGGTAATGACACAATGAGCGTGCCAGCATGCAAACATAAACGTGTGAATTTCATTACGATTTTACATGTACTGTATTTACTCGTGTATAAGTATAATTCATGTATATTATAAGTCTCACCCCATATTTTGCATTGAAAAGTTGGTACAAACATTGGTACATTAACAAGATTTCTTAGCCTCGTCTATAAGTTGCACCCAATATTTTGCCTGAAAAGTTTGGTACAAACATTGGTACATTAACAAGATTTCTTAGCCTCGTCTATAAGTCGCACCCCCTGATTTTTTTTATTGAAGTTGTGTACAAAAAGCGCGGTTTATACACAAGTAAATACGGTATATATACTGTAAGTGTAATACACACGCACGCACGCATGCAAACGCGCGCGCAGACACATGCCTAGGTATGTGCGAGCCTATATGCACGCAGGGAATACTGGCAAAAATATCAGGAGTGTATAATAAGAAACAAATTATTATACACTCCTGATAAGATGATATGCACTGAACCAAAAGAGGACATTAACGGCTCATAGATTGCACAAGTAAATTTTGGACAAGTAAAATCAAAATTCGGACAAGTAAAAATTGCTTCTTGTTGCCCGACAGGACAACCAGATCTGAAAATAAGCGTCGAGGCCTGTGAATATTATACACTCCTGATAATATGATATGCACTGAACCAAAAGAGGACATTAACGACTCATAGATTGCACAAGTAAATTTTGGACAAGTAAAATCAAAACTCGGACAAGTAAAAATTGCTTCTTGTTGCCCGACAGGACAACCAGATCTAAAAATAAGCGTCGAGGCCTGCCTAACGCGTATTAGTTTGTCCAATATCACTGCTGGTTACATTACAAGCAAGACTTGAAATCGGTTGTTGATATTTATTTACATGCCGTAAATGTCATCCAGGAGTCAAGCGATAAGTCGCCAATGACGTAAACATTTGTTCGGCCCGTATGTTTTGGACGCCAGATGAAATGGAGGTGTCAGCGGTGTAACCACGGCCACAGACTAAACAGGAAAATGGAGTAAAACACACGTACTAATCACGGAGGCACATGGACAGCCCTGACAAAAAGTTCCTTATCACGAGCGTCCGTGTTTACGAAATCACTGATGATAGCATTGCGTACGACCGAGCATGCGTGCGAAAATGTCCGGTGCACTATAAATCTGTATCACACCCGCTTCGCCGGCAGCGATTTGAAACTGTAAACAACTCAGCCAACTGATTTCTTGGACTGCGGATTTCAATTAGACATTTCTTAGTAACCAGCAGTGATATTGGACAAACTAATACGCGTTTGGCTATAAGGTAATGTACTTATTAACTACACAAGGTGCCAGTTACTCTAGCATTCGTCAACATTGCATAATCAATGGACATATTATTTTAATTCCTTTAAGTACTTTTTGTGGCTAAAATGTAGCCAGCGAAACATCGGTAGCATTTTTGACTGAGCGCCGCCATTATCGGAAGTAGTGCAGGGCGCATGCATACAGAGACAATCAATAACTGTGGTGTTCTATTGTCTCTGGTGCGTATCATGTCTCACTGATCTCTATAATAAAATCTGTCTACCGGAAAAGCATGTCTGCTGCTTCGCCATCGCCGCGACGCCAGGTCAATCTGGTTGAATTCAGGTAAATATACTTCGCCCATGTTGCACTTAAGCACAGCGTGCTCTCGATGTATAAAATCAAAGGCATATAAAGAAGGAGAGCGTACAACGGTAAAATTCTGAAACCATGTTGCAGTATTAGTTGAATTAATAAACTTTCCCCGTGTTATTTTGACGATTCTTTGCAGTATTATTGATCAGCTGTCCTACCTTGTTCATATAAAACAAACCGCATGTCCCTACGATGTCCCTACGCTGAGATAATAAGCTGTGAAAATCTGGTATTTTCGCCGAACACCGACTAGACATTAGTCAGTACTGCGACCCACTCTCGAAAGTGTGGCCAGTGTGTTGCTTCCGGTCGCCGCTGTGTAGCGCTGACTCGATACGTTATTACTACAGCGTTACTACATCCAGCGTAAGGGGCGGGTCATCAACATGGCGATAAATAACAAGACGTTTTTGTGGAGTAATGGCTGCGTCAATGACTGGAAATGCAAGAAAAGATAGTAGAAGAAAAATAAATTTCATTGTCAATGAATGACGGAAACACACGAGGTTTCCCGAAGCTATCGCCAGAACGCGAGTCGGTCGCAGTGCTGACTAATGTCATTGTCTAGTCAGTGTTCGGCGAAAATACCAGATTTTCACCGCTCATTATCTCAGCGTAGGGGCATCGTAATGTACTTTCACAGCTCTGTATCAATATTTTCGTAGTTACGCAGGGGTTGAAATTAGAGTTTTATTATGGTATCCACGTATTACATATTAAATCGAATCGGATCGAATCGGATCCAAATATCGAAAAAAAAAAATCAATAATCGAATCAAAATAATTTGATACCAATGACAGCCCTACTATTAACTCACCGCAGCTGTGATCAGCACACTTGACCTGCCATTTGCGATCACCTCTATGAAAGAGTATCGCAGCGCCATTAGAGGCATGTTCACTTGTGGCAGAAATGCTTCAAGCTTGTTTGTGTAAGCTCCACTTGCTGAAAATATACAACACGTTCTACCAACCCATCTTGTTAGAATGGCATTATCTCAAACAAAAATGCTTAAGTATGCGTGTGATGCTTCAGCAGTACCTTTCTTGACCTAAATGAGGCAAACAAGCTAAATGCCAGTCAGTTTTGGATACTTACCGTGACGGAATTGCCTTTTCCGTGACTGTATGTCGCCATATATCTGCCGAAGACCTCCAGTGACTAAAGCACTCATGTGGAAGAGAGGTGGGTCCAACTTCAGCCATTGTTGACCTAAACTCCTAAACATTTGTAAAAGCGTGTAAAACCATGGGGATTATGTATTGGTATGTAAGCAGCGTAGTGCCGAGAGTCAGCATTCGCGCAGACGTTAGGCTTTTCTTTTGCAGTGAGGAGTTGTTTATCGCAGATAGAAGAGTTATTAGTGGTGCAATAAGATTTATTACACATTATTTTTATTTTTACTGATTTGTTGGAACTGCCAACTGGTGGTTTCGTAACGCGATCCGATCGTAGGAAGGTAGGGGTGACTATTGGGGTAAATTTTACTATTGCAATAGTATTGCGATAGTTAAAATACTATTGCAATAGTATTGCGATAGTATTGCGATAGTTGTAGGACTATTGCAATAGTATTGTGTAAATATGTAAATACATATTAATTTAAAAAATATTCTGTTTCGCATGGAATACACAAGTTTTGTGTATTTATTTTATTAGCATGCATTTTTTCTTTATTATCATGACATATCGAACACACTGCACTACAGCAAACTTTAATATCATGACATATCCAACACACTGCACTACGGCAAACTTTTATATCATGACATATCCAACACACAGCACTACGGCAAACTTTAATATCCTGACATATCCAACACACTGCACTACGGCAAACTTTAATATCATGACATATCCCACACACTGCACTACGGCAAACTTTTATATCATGACATATATCCAACACACTGCACTACTTTTAAACTCCTTAGAAGTCCAGTAACCAATGTCTTTACCGAAGGACACAAACGAGTCTGTCTACGTCCATACAACACACGGCAGAGACTTTATGTTTGCCAATTTTTCTTCAGAAAGATCAGTTCATCAACATATTGGCCCTGTAGGGCTGATCGCTGGGCCGTTACGATATCTCCTGCCGTGCTAAATACTCTGATGGCACAGAAGTCGCTGGAATTCCCAAGTACTTTTTAGCAAGACAAGCTAGGATTGGATACCTAGAGCTGTGTTCTCGCCACCACAACAAAGGATTATCAGACACTGTAATTGTTAGTAGTGCAGACTTGTAGCGTGTCACTTCCTCTTCGGTCATTTCCATGGTAGTTTTGGCTTCCTTACCTCTGACATGGTAAACATCACCAAACAGGTTTGAAAGGGCAGTGGGTTTAGGCTGCTTTGTAGCACCTACATTCTCATCAGCCTGTGCATCCATTTTGATCTTCTTGTAGTCTGGCTCAAGATTAGACTCGTGATCAGCAGGCAGGGTGGGCTCAGGGGCTGCAACATATTCAGTGGACTGGGCTTGATCAGTAACCTGGCCAGACTGAGCATCAAACCATTCAGCAGCATGCAAGATCAGTGACTGAAACGCCTAGACTCTTTCAGCGTCTGACAAAAACGGGACGGACTTAAATCGTGGATCCGGTCAAGTGGCAATGAGTAGTTCCTTTTTCACTCCATGATATCGCTTAGAAAGATCCGTGGACACTGCAGCCTTTATGTTCCTTGTGAAGCCGGAGTCGCCTTCACGTGCCACCATCACATGACTCAACAGCTGGTTCTCCAGCCATCTGTGGTTAGAGCTACACTTGTTGCAGAGCTCAAGTCTTTCATCACCACATCTTTCACTGTTGCGTACAATGAAATACAATACGTCAATATATTGACGTATCAGAAAAGTACTGCCTCGATGGAATGATATATCTGGGCTCCAGCACTGCCAGTAGATTTTTAAATCCAGAATTCTGCACTACGCTGAATGGACGCAAATCCTTCACAATAAATCTGTCAACGGCATTCGTTATTGCTGTGGCTCTAAGCGACCGACGTGGTAATTTGGTTAACATAGTGCCAATAGTCGTTTGAGTCGGCGATCGTAACTGTTATGTCTCCGTCGTAAGAACAATAACATTCATTGTATAGGTTTAATGCTGGTTTAATAACTCAAACAACAGGTTACAACTTAAACACGCGAGTTCGGTAGGTATTCACGACCAACGACGCAAGGTTCGTGACGTAACGCTCTTTGATGCTGGCGATCTGTTGCTAGCAGCGGCGAGCTAACGGAAGTAGAGCGTTTGTGGCAGCTTCAGCAGCCTCCGCCTGGCTCTGTGATGCCGTGTTTTAAGATTGTAATCCACTGTTGTATTGAGTAAATTAAACCAGACATTAATATCCTATACAATTGTTATTGCTTGCTTACGACGGAGAACAAAACAATTGGTGTCAGAATTGGGATCCAACTGCACTTAACTCTTCACTCAGGCATGATCAAAACCGGGTGCAGAAGCTCTGTGCTTTAGAGAACCGCCAATGCAACAGTAGCGGCAGGCAGCCAGCAGCAAAGCAGGCAGCTCAGTACGGCAGCGAGGTCGTGCTGCAGCACAGCAGATCGGACCAGACTGTTCGACACTGATGCCAGACATGAGGTTGCGGTTTCAGGACACCTGCACGACCAGCAGTGGCGACTGATGTCTAACGCCAGTCCATACCGAAATTGAGGCGTTCGAGAAAACGAAAGTAAATAAGTGGAGAAGGTAATTTGGAACGTTTCGACCAGCATGTCACCTGTACGGGCGTGAGTAACGGACGAGGGCGCAGAAGGCGTGCATGCCTGATTTCTCGTGGGGTAGGACGCTCAACCGTACGAGTTAGCTGAGGAACTTGTTGGGGGTGAAGAACCTCTAACCCGTCTCTGAAGGTCGTTTGCAACATCTACTGATAAGAACAACTGTGTCCCATCCACTTTGTAGATCTA